TTATTTACATCTTTGTAAAAATATTTTTTGTTTGTTTAAAAAATTCTGAAAATTACAAATTATTTAGTATTTATAAATTAAAATTACTAATATTTTGCTTAATATTTTTGTAGTCTAACCTTGTATCTAGGAAATTTATTTCTTTAATTACTTTTCTCTATAGTCGAGTCTAACAAAATTAAAAACCTAATTGATATATTTTATTAGAAATTCTTCTGTAAACACATAAATATTTATCTAATTCTAGATGTATCAAAGGCTCAAAAATCATTTAACCATATTAATTTTTAGTTCATTGACACAACTAGATAGATATATGTTGATGGCATTATGCACAAAAGTGTTAAGTACAACATTTGGTCAAGTTGTGCTAAGTGCACAAAAACTGTTGTGGTTTATATATATATATATATATATATATATATATATATATATATATATATATATATATATAATATATATATATATATATATATATATATATATATATATATATATATATATATATATATATATATATATATATATATATATATATATATATATATATATATACACAAAAGAGAGCGCCTAACTTTCCTAATATAAAAGAGCAATAATAAATTAGTAGAAATCACCTACTCAAAAGTCTTTTTGGAGAAAACGTTTAAAAAAAAATGTTTCTCCAAAAAGAATTTCTTTTGCTTGTATTATTTGATTTTCTTCCAACAGTATTCTATATCTTGCATCAACATAAACTGCAGCTAGAAATATATTGTTATTAAAAAGTTTTCCTTCTCGTTTCTGCATAGATTTTGAAACGTCTTTTGCAATTAGTCCCTGATTCTTCTCAAGGCCAGATTTCAACTTTAACCATTCCATTAGGAATTCTCCAGGAGTGATGTCGATTCCTTAAAGTTTAACTGTCACATCATACGGCTTTTTTAAAAGGTCGCAAAGATGACTCAACTCATACCATATTTCAGGGGGTAGAAAAAATATCTGATCAACTGCAGCAAATTGCTCACACAGTGGACGCAAAAGTAATAATCATTCAATCATCCGGAATGTAGAACCCCAGCGTGCTACATTATCCAAAATTGGAACGAGCTTGTATTGCTTCCTTACTAATGATATTGTATGTGAGTTTCTTAGTTTTTTTACAGTATATCGGACTTTTGCAAAAAGTTGGGCAATGTATGGTTTTTTTAAAACATCGCAAATAGCTAGCTGCAAAGTGTGAATAGCACTGCGCATCTGCCTAATGTAATGAGACAATTGGTGACACCAATCTGGGAGAACAAAGGCTAGATTTCCTTCCCAAGCCGCAGCACTTTCTTCCTCATTTGTATCCTGTTTTAAAAACTCCTCTTGTTCTTCGTCCTGCAAGGCTTCGTCTTGAAAATTTTCATCACCAAAACATTCGTTTAAAAGCCTGACTGCTCTAATCATATTAGCTGCATTGTCTACACTTGCACATACTATTTGATCTTTGCTGATACCAAATCTATATAGAGTTTCTTCCACCATTTTTTTGATAGCAGCAGAGTTGTGCTGTCCTTCTGTCTCTATCAGTGTTAAAGTTTTAACTTGATTTTTTCCCGTATAATAATATTGAATATTTATTCACAAATAGTTTTTTTGGTGTCGAGTGGCTGTATCATTTTCTCATATAAAAATTTCTGTAACAGTATTTCTTTTATTTCACTTTCTTTTTTCAGCAAATTCATTAATTAAATTGCGTACAGAATCGTGCCCAGTACTGAATCCAAGAGTTTTACCATATTAGCCAGTAACCAACTGAAATCCTTCATCCGCTAATGTTTTCAACCAAACTCTGTTATTCACTACCATTTTAATAATACCCATTTTAAAAGTTTTAGAACTAACTTGATTTATTGTTCTACTTTTAATGATAGCAAAAAAATTTAAAGTAGACTGCTTTGATTTTTTAGTATTGATATCTTGTAAATGTGATAAAAATAATTCAGAAGATTTTCTTTTGGTCATAAAGCTCATTTCAGATTTAATAATTTTATATTCTGATGAATGTGATCTTTCCAAATACCGTTTCATATTGTAAACTTTTGATTTTTTTATTTGCATGCCGCATGAAATCACTTTATCATTTATCTTTTCTGTAATCTTGCATGTCGCCAGTTTTGTAATTTTTTCAATTGAAAATAACTTATCTAGAAGCCTCTCAGGATGGTTTGAGTTTGAAGCCATTTTTATTAAAAACAATAGGTAAAATAAACGACAATTAACCATTATATAACACTGTATAATTAATTCGAATTAATAATAAATGAAATAATTTAAAAACTTAACTTTTCATTAACTTTAATTGGAACTCGCATGTTTTAAATGTTTAAACTTATTAAAAACGTTAAAACGAATCACGTGACTTAACACATGGATAAAGTATATTTTTATTAACCAATCATTGACATTGTTTAGAAGTTATGTTTTAAAGTAACTTATCAATTTCAATAATATGAACCACATGACATATTACACAAAAGAATTTGATAATAATTAAATTCTCATAAAATTTTGAGAATATAATTATTATCAATGTCATAATAATATCGCAATATTATAAAACTTTTAATATTATAATAATTGCTAGTTTACCATTTTATTAAGCATATGATAAAATGATATAACTAAAATATTTATATTTAGAAATTATAAATATTTTAATAAGCCTAAATATTCAATTCCTTTGAAAAAAAAAATAACTTTATGCAACTTTGGTTATTCAAAATATCAAAGAGCGAAGCTGGCTTGGAGCTGACCCCGGAGCCAGCTCCAACAGGAAATATTTTAGCTCCAGCTCCGGCTCAGCTTCATGTAAAATCATGAGCTCCGGACAGCTCCAGCTCCGGCCAGAGCTGCTCCATAGCCCTGTTCTAAAATGCATAAATTTTTATTTGTAATTCGTTTGGGCAAATTTTCAGAATATGCTTACAGTTTGTTGTTGTTTTTTTGAACACTCTTTAAACAAAAAATTTATTGCATTTAAACTTCGTAGCTTAATCTTGCTGTGACGGAGTCAGATTTTGATGAAATGAGTTGACTATTAATTTGCCTTCTAAATGAAAAAAGTTCTTGCTTTTCCACCACTTTTCAATATTTTTTTTACAGTTTTGTTTGCCTCATAACATATTATAATAACTCCAAAAACTGATTTTGGAACTTTAAATACTTTTGAAATCATTAAAAATAAGAACGATGGATTTTCTTTGCAAAGTTTCAATTTCTTTTTTTTTTTTGATTTTCTGACTCTTTACTCGACATTTCAAAAATTAATGAGTAAACAAAACTACACTCACACACATGAAAACTAATTATGTTAGCACCATTATTCAAAAAAATTATAACAACTGATTAAGTAGATTTCTCAATGCAACTAAGGCATAGAACAAAAAAACTCGTAAAAAAAGGCGATAATTTAAAACAAATTCAATTGCTCAATGCAACTAAGGCATAGAACAAACAAAATCGTAAAAAAAAAAAAAAAAAAAAGTCGATAATTTAAAACAAAGCCGATTGGTTGTCAGGGGCAAACCGAAAAATATTTTAGTTATTGTTATGCAAACAAAGAATTCGTATTGAAAGTAATTTGTTAATAAATTTTACCGCCTCTGTTTTTTGATTGTTTACGTATTATGAATGATTCTAATAAAATAAAATAAAAAGCCGATAATTTAAAACAAAGCCGATTGTTTGTCAGTGGCAAACCAAATAATATTATAGTTATTGGTATTTAATTTATGCAAACAAAGAATTCGTATTGAAAGTAATTTGAAAGTAACTTTACCGCCTCTGTTTTTTGATTGTTTATGCATTCTGAATGGAATAATTTATTATATCAAGATGGCCAATTAAGTCCCAAATATTTCAAAAAATGATACATAATACCAAAAACAGTTTTTTTAATGAGGCTAAATGTTATGATTATTTATGCAAAAACGACTTTGGTAGAAAAATAAACACTACCATAGGTTACCTAAATCAAACGTGACGTTATTGTTAAACATACTTATTTAGGTGTGGGATTGAAAATAGTAACTTCAATTTTCATAATAAAAATGGTTTTTCATGGATATTTTTCCCAAATAATGTCTGAATAGAAATTTCAAGTTACATTCATTGAAAACAAGCACCAATATATGCTTTTATGAAAAAATCAAGTTTATCGACTTATCTATAGCCAAGCCCCAAGCTACTTTATGTTGAAAACTGGATCTTTTCTAAATAAAACTACGCTTGACAATTTTTTCTAGTCGCATTACATTTACCAAATTATAATAGTGGTTTAAATAATCATTCAACACATACCAAATATGTCATACTTTTTGATGAAAAAACTTATATGTATTGTAATTGAAAAAACTTATATTTTTGTTTGGAAAAACGTGTACCAAGTCTTAATTGCATTGAGTTTGAAAAAACTCAATTTAAAAGCGTCCAAACTTCAGCCAATCATTGTGATATTTAATTAACACATTAAAAGCGGGTATTCTAAATACTATTTAGACTGTTACTGATATTCAATTTGTTGATAAACAACAATTCGCACTACGTCTACCGAAACGTTAAAAGTTTTTAATAGTTTAATATAATGGAAAATTTATTTAATAGCTTTGAAAATAAATACTGAGTATTGTTTTTATACATGTATTTAATAATTTTTCTATCTCTTACTAAAATATATTGAAGTAAGGAATAAGTATAGAAAAGATCGGTGTGGAATAGATTTTCTAAGACCCGTATTTTACTGGTCATGACAGCTAGTTAATATTGTTATTATTATTATTGTTATTATTAATATTCTTATTCTTATTAGTGTTATATTGTAATAAAAATATTATTATATTTGTAAACATTTTATTATATTATTGAAATTATAATATTTGTAAAATATTATGTTAAATTATAATATTGTAAAACATTAAAAAAAAAAAAAAAAAAAAAAATCAATGTGCTCGAATTTGATTAGTAAAAATACTTACCAGTCGGAACTAATAGTAGGCAGTATAATATTTTCATTTTGAAAACGTGTTGACCACTTCTAGCGTTTACAATTAATCAAGCGAGTTTCTCTTTTTAAAGCTGTGCTTTATTTTAGCTTTCTTTAATATGAAATAAAATCTTAGGCTTAAGTTTTATTTATTGTTGTTGTGATTTGTAAAGACTTTCTTAAATGGTTTGAAAAACTGCTTTCTAATTTAGCACTTTTAATCTGGTTACGTCTTTTTTAAAATTCAAAAGACATTTGAATGCTCAATCTGATACATCTTTTCAAAAAGATAGTAATAAGGCTAGTTTTTGTTTTGAAAATAAGATTTATTTATCAAAAACATTTAATCACGGCTGTTTTAAAGTGAGCTCTACGGCTTCTTGTTTTTTTTAAAAAAAAACCACATAATAGGTGTTACTAAAACTTTTTAATTTTTTTTTTAATATTAGAGATAATTTTGTTCTGTAAAATGAATATAAACACCAAAAAAATGTTTTAATATGACATTAAATTAATCATTGAAAATTTTTTTCGATCTTAGATAAAACGCGCCAAATGATGTGCTAAATTTAAGTAATCCGTTGTCACTTTTTATCAAAAAAAATAAATTAAAAAGTATATTTTACATAATTATTATTAAATATACACATTGTAAGACGACTTTAACTTAAAAAGAAAATTACTTAAACTTGATTCTTAACTGAGACAGGCAATATTTATGTCAGTAAAGCAAATCACTACTTTTTTACTCGTAAAATATTAAAAGTCACGTGATTGTTTTAAAATGTAAACAAAAATATACTCATAAAAGTAGACAAAATGTTGTGAACCTGTTGCGTTAGTTCGCTAACGCAGCAGCCAGTATGCTTCTTTACTTTGTATATTTTAATTAAACGCGTAGCAAGCCTCGCTCTCTTTCGCTTCCTTCTTCACCACGAGCTGAGCACTTGGCGCGTTCCAAGTTTGTAATTTTAAATAACGAGACGTATCTTCAAGAAATATATATTAAAGTAATCTTATTTATGCGAGTTAATGCTAGAGTCCCTTCCAAACTTTTTATGGAGCCCACGATTTAAAAGATATAAGAAGATTTAACGAGCTAAGTCGTTTTTATTTTTATTCAACTTAATGTGATAGTTGATTATTTTTTGAGATTTATGGTAAGATTGTTATAGGTTATTATAATTATTATTTAGGTAAAATGGAGAAAAAACTTGTTTTAAAGATCAAGTATTACCAGCTAAGTGATTTTGTCATTTGTTATTTCATTATTTGTGATTATAGTTTATCCTAAGTTATTTAAGGTTTAAAAAATTTAAGTTAAAAGATCTTATGTTAAGGAAAATTAAATTAAATTGTATTAAGGTTAAATTAGACAAGAATTGCGATATCCTTTTATTTTGAATTTTATTTTATTGATTTTTTCCGCTGTCGACTGATTCTTTTAAACAAATTACTACAAGCATTAAAAAAGTCCGTGAAAATTATAACGTTAAAAGCGTTCTATTTAAATAAAACATTCTAAAAATAACTACATTTCCTTTTGTTGAAATAAATACCTTTAAGTTAGAAATTCTCCTTTAAATTTGACTTCAGATTTGTGAAATGTCTGTACTAACAACAAAAAGAAGAGTGCGAATCATGAATGTTATTTCTATAAAGAAAATTTTCGATCAGGCCAATGATTTAATGAAAGACGATAATCATAGTAAAAATTTATCAGAACTAATTAATTTAAGAGAGATGGCTAATGATAGATTTGAAAGAATTAAAACTCTAGATGATGAAGTTTCGGTTTTAATAGATGACGCCGAAGAGTTACAAATTAACGATGATTTAGCTATTGACTTTACATTAAGCTTCAAAAGAGAAAATTCTAAAATAAACAATTTTTTAAATAAATTTTCTATTAAATCTAATGATAATGCAAGTTCTACAGTAACATTAAAAACTAATAAAATAGTTAAAATTCCAACCTTAAAAATTGGAGCATTTGATGGCAATTGGGAAAATTGGCAATCCTTTTGGGGAAATTTCGACTGTTCGATAAATAAAAATGATGAATTAAGTAACATTCAAAAAATGATATATCTAAGAAACTTAATTCACGGACAAACATATTCCGCAGTTAATGGTTTCTTGCTTTTAAACGAAAATTATACTATTGCGCTGGATATTTTAAAACAACGATTTTCAAATAAACAACTGACTGTTTCCTTTTATATGAAGAAACTTTTAAAACTTGATCGATTAAACAACATATAAAATGTTAATTCTTTAAGAAAACTTTTAGATACTATTGAGATTCAAATACGTAGATTAGAGAATATTGGTATTGATTCTTCGATGTATGGGTCTTTTCTTGTCCCAATTATACTTGAAAATTTTTTTAATTATAAGCCGTAAACTAAATGAAGATGGAACTTGGGATATTAAAGATGTGTTCAATATACTAAAAGCTGAATTAAGAGCGCGTGAACACATCAATTCTTCTGATTTATATACTTTGCCCTTTACTGCTAGTACATTTCATTCGAGTGACAATTCAATTAATAAATATGATTATAAACGAAATGATTCTTATTTACCCGTGTGTGTATTTTGCAAAAATAACCACAAATCCTATCAGTGTAAATTAGTAACTAACATTACGGCTAGAAAAAAGATATTAAGTGATAAAAAATGTTGTTTTCGTTGTCTTAGTAATAAACATTTTAGCAACTAGTGTTCATCAAAATTAAAGTGTTTTAAATGTAATCGTTATCATCATGTATCAATTTGTGGCAGTGACAACAGAAATAAGTACAACAGCAATATGAGAAATAATAACAAAAACGGTGAGTTGACTTCAGTCGCAAGTACATCATTTCTTTCTACTTCTAAGTCTGTTATTCAACCGACTGAAACCGTTTTATTACAAACAGCCGTTGTTTATAATAAACAACTTTTGAACAACTGTTAAAAGTCAAGATCATGCTAGATGTGCAACACGTCGAATATTATTTGACAATTGCTCGCAGTTAAGCTATATTACTTCTGAGACATGTGCCAAACTTAAACTAAAGCATATCGATAGTAAAGAAATTAACATTAAAACATTCGGGCACGGTAGCATTTCTGCGGTCTTGGATAAGGTCAGAGTTTCTATTAAAAGTATTTATGGTTATTTTATAAGCATTGAATGTTTTGTTCAAGATATATGTTCTCCTTTGAGTGGACAACATTAATATAGCATGTAACAGTTATAAACATCTTAAGGGTCTTAGATTAGCCAATTTTAATAATTCTAAAGAAAATTTATTAGGTGATATCTTGATAGGTGTTAATTTTTATCGAAAGTTCATGGAAAATTCTATTATCAGGGGAGTTAACGGTCCCGTAGCGATTAAATCTAAGTTAGGATATTTAATAAGCGGTCCCATGATGGTTAATAGAGATCAAATTGATAATTCGACTGTTTTTTGTCTTCTCATGTTTTGAAGATCGCGTCAAATTTTAATAGTGAGCAAATTTTAATTAAGTATGATTTAAATTTATTATGGGATGATTCCAAAATTAGCGAGTTTGATAAGACTGTTTATGCAAAATTTCAGGAAAATATTAAATTTAATGGTACTATGTATGAGGTCGAATTGCCATTTAAATTAGATCATCTGGTGATAGGTGACAATTATAATTTATGTAAGTCGAGATTTTTAGCATTAGAGAAAAATTTGCAAACGATAGAGATTTATTTTCGTCTTACAATAATATTATTAAAAATCAATTATCTAAAAGCATTATTGAAAAAGTCTCAACTTTTGAAGGTTATATTGGTGACGTTCACTATTTACCTCACCGTCCAGTAATACGCGAAGATAAGCTGACTTTAAGAGTACGTATAGTTTTTGATGCAAGTGCTCGCACATCCGGTCCTTCGTTAAAGGAGTGCTTATTTTCAGGACCATCTCTAACAACTTCATTATATAGTATACTTTTACGTTTTCGTGCGAAGCGAATCGCTATAATTGCTGACATTGAGAAAGCATTTTTAAACATTGCATTAGCTGAAAAGCATCGTGACTTTGCAAGATTTATATGGTAAAAAGACTTATTTGATTTAGACAATTTAAAGAATAGTGAATTAAGTGTTTATCGATTGTGTCGATTTTTGTTTGGCATAACTTCTTCTCCTTTCTTATTATCTACGACTTTAATTAATCACGCTGAACGTTAAGCTGTGAGCGATTTTGATTTTAGCAAGAAATTAAATCAATCATTACATTTGGATGAATTAAATGCGAGTTTTGATTATGTATCCGAAGGACTTGTGTTTTATAATAAAGCTAAATTATGTTTAAAAGAAGGAAATTTTTGTCTAGGAAAAAGTCAAACTCAAAAGAACTATGCAATTTAATTAAAGAGGACAATTCAACCCCAAGTAATATTACTAAAGTTCTTGGTTTAAAGTGGAATAAAACTGAAGATGATTTAATTTTTACCTTTCAGGATTTATTATATTTAGTGGCCAATAAACCTACTAAAAGAAGTATTCTTAAATTCATTGCAAGTTTTTATGATCCTTTAGGATTAGTGAATCCTATTATAGTAAGATGTAAAATATTATTTCAATCGATTTGTAAGTTAAAGTTAGGGTGGAATTCACTTATAGAGGAAGAGAACTTGATTGAATGGAACGATAATATTAATGATTTGAGTTCTGTACCTTTTATTTATGTTTCAAGATAGTATAATAAGTGTGTTAATAAGATTCAACATAATAAATTTGAGTTATACGGCTTTTGCGATGCGAGTTTAAAAGCGTACGGGAATTGCATTTACTTAAGAAGTAGCGCTGAGGGAGTTGCGAATTCTTGTCTAGTTACTTCTAAATCAAAAGTTTCTCCTTTACTTAAGAATACTGTTTCTAAATTAGAATTAAGGGCAATGTTGTTATTAGCTAATTTGTTTTCAGTTGTATGTAAAGAGTTATCGTGTGTTTTAAATATTTCTTGTGTTAAGTTATTTTCTGATTCCATTATTTGTCTTAATTGGGTAAACAATGTAAATAAAAAATATGAAGCCTTTGTTCAGTAGCGCCTGAAAAAATTCGTTTATTGTATGATATTAAGTTTTGGGATTATATTGAAAGTGAAAGAAATCCCGCGAATATTATATCTCGTGGTTGTAAATTTAGTACCTTTCAAAATAA